AGGCCAGGCTCAGCTCTACTAGCTTTCCTGGAGGCAGGAAAACCTCTGCCAGCCTCAAATGCCTCTTCCTGCTGCTGCAGATGGTTGTACAAACCCTGGAGCCAGCTCCAAGCCAGCACAAGAAGAATCTCAGAACAGCAATGAGAGAGAATATCAAAATATGCCAAGCTGTTTCAGACATTGACTTGTTCTTACCTCTTAGTGCAGGGTTGTTGTTCTCTACCCTGAAAATTAGATGAATGTTGATGAAAATTACTGATTGGCAGCATTGCAGAGAGATCTCTTGAGTTCATCCATGGAGCAGCCACCAGAAATAAAGACACGACAAATATAATGTCAATAGATACTGCAAGACAACAGCAATTCTTCTCCCATGCTGCCAGGAAGAAGCTGCTTTGTAAAGCAGTTCCGTTTCACGCAGTGTGTAAATGGTACAGTTACTTAGTTTTTTCTTAATGCAGTAAGACTGCATAGTTTCAGTATTTATAAAGTGCTTTTAAAACTATTTAAAGTGTGTATACAAGATGATCCTTTCAGATTTCTCAAAGCAGGAAAGATTTCCATTCAGTCTCCACAAACTGCCTGGTGCCCTTTTCAATTCTTAGTGTGGCAGCAGGTTGTACACAGCCTCCCACTGTGCTGGTGAGGCATTTGTATACTCTCCCCACCAAAAGAACCAAAACCTGATTATAATGAGAAATAGAGAATGAGACCTTTCACCTGGAGAGTTAGACTTATACCATTTCACATAAGACAATCATGACTATCAGTCATATTAGTAGATCCCAAAGTCACCCAGAGTTGAAAATCTCCATTGAGAGCACACAGCATAAATTTAAGACTTCACAGTGCAATGTCAATGTGCAATCAAGGTGCCCAAAATGAGCATCATACTTGTGATCAGCTTGCTCACCTGAGGTCTGAAAAAAAGACCTAATACCTAAGGACCTGTCTGGAAGAACACAGCAAAGAAATTCAGGACCTCAGTGCAGGTCAGGGAACCAAGGAAGTCTCTGTTTGGCATCCTCTGGCTTTTGGATGATGGCAGTATGGTGTAAAAGTGAATCAGTAAGAGAATAAACGACAAAAACTTAAATGGACTCCCAACAACATGCTGGCAAGCTGTGCAGTACAAATCTTTCAACCAGCCCAACTCAAATAACACTATCTCAGATAACATTAAAAAACATCCTGAAACAAACTATAGGTAGATTAACTGATTATCATTCATTTCAGAGTGCACATACATGTAAGTATCAGTCTTAAGGAAACAGTCTTTCCTCCTATTTAGTCTGCTCTGTTATAAAAAATGAGGTCAGTGACTCAACTTTTCCTTGTGACTCCTCACAAAAGTGAGCCATTGTCAGTGCACTGGGTCCCAGCTAGATGCTCACCCCACCCTGCTCCGTTTAGCAATGTACAAAGGACAAGAGGGTCATGATCTGCAAACAGGAAACAGTCAACTCAAATGTAGCAGGAGCTGTGTACACATACTTGAACTCTCAAGACTGATGCAAGTTCTCCTTCCGGTCTAAAGAGAGGAATTTTTGCTCTCAGAGGAAAGGATAGCATACTTCTCAAAGGCCTCACAGCTGGGGACAAAAAAAAATGAGGAATTCCTCCCTGAATTGCTCAGTGTTACTGCATATGTTGCATATTACATGCTTTTTTCAGGAATGCCTGGGTGGAGCTGATATCTCTATTTAAGCTCCAAATGTTGTTATTTCATTCTATTACATTTATTCTTGTTTTTAATAATGATAACATGTCTATCATGGCTCCTTTCAACGTCACATATAAATTAAATTCCCATTAGTAAAGGTTTCATCTTTTTCATACCTATGACAGGGAGTCACAAGACTCATGCTGTTGGGTATACTGTCCCTTGGTTAGTGGGAGACCTATAAGGGCACCTCTTCCTCCTAAAATACAAAGACACAGAAGTTGAGGCAAGAAAGTAGGCTCAAATCTTTTGAATGACAGGTTGGAGGTATCAATACGTCATCAAGTAGTTCTGCCAACGTCCAAAGAATCTATATGCCTTTCTCTTCTGTTTTAGTTAAAAGACCTGTTTTACTTTGAAGAGATTTCCCACATGGAAGGTGTTCATCTGTCCCACTCAGTCTCAAAGGGATGCCTCTAAGACTCAAAGGACTCAACCTAAGAGAACTCCAGCTGCAAAGAATTCTGCTGAGTGTTCACACTGCAGGACCAGAAATGGTGCCACCCATTGGCATGGAAGATAGGAAAGTGTTCTCTCTGAAGAAATATGCATATAGAAAAGTGTTTTTACATAAAAAAGTAATTGAAAGTGATACAGTGAGTAGATCTGGTCATAGTATTTATTTACCATTACAGTTCTAAAAGTTCATATTAAGCACAAAGGCAGTCTGCATAGTGAAATAGCACACATCCTACATCAGGGCTCACAGTGCAGTGCACTCACAGCCACCACAGTTTGGGCCTTCTCCCCAGAAAGATCACTCCTCACCTTGGGTCACAGGGCTACATCTAAGGCTTGTATGTCAGCCAGGAAAGTCCTCCTCATAGCCTGCCCATCCCAAAGCCCCACCAGAGGCTGATGTAAAGGGCCATCAGGGCTCAAGCTGATCACCTCCTGCCAGAAGTAGCATGAGTACATGCTGTCTTAGTCTCAAGGTCAAAGACAGTGCAGGCTTGCGCTGCAGGAATTCTAGGTAGAACACAACACAATTCAGAAGCTGATATACCATGTCTCACAGATGCCTTCTCTCCATTGTTGGCAGACAGAAATAGAGGTAATGTCACCTCATGAGAGTTAGCAATCAGCTTTTCAAGATGTGTTTGATGGCAAAATTTTCAGGGGTAGCACAACCTGTCCAATTGCAGCCTAACTTCTTTACATGTGTTTCAAAAACTGGTATTTTTACAAAGAGAAAACACAAGCAGACTCAGCCAAGCTATGAATACTATAAGTTATGCTTTTATGTTGCTGTGAAACTATTACTATTATTTCCAGATGGTTATTACATTGTTTTCCAATTCTGGCACCTATAATGGTTTGTGTTTCTTGCCAGGGTTTACAAGTATTTCTCAAACTTTCTTTTATCTTCCTGACACAGGATTTAGTAAGAAGGCAAAAGTATTGTATTTCCCATCAAACAGAACGGACAGACCAAAATCACACACCTGCCCAGAATGACAGACTGAGTTAATAGTGGATACAAAATTACAAAAAGGGAGAAAACTGGAAACCACAGCATTATACTGAATGTTCTCCATGGAGAAATGTCATCTTCACAAATTGCATTTCAGGGAATTCTGGTCAGAACTGACTGAGGCTGCGTTCTCACGTCTGAGGTACAGGGCCCACCAAAGCATGGTCAAAGCAATGCAAAGTCTCTAGGTGATGGGCATGAAATGGAACTGAGGGTGCTGGAAACACATTAAAAGAATGGGAAAACGGAAGAATAAGATACCGAGCTCCAAGCCAATTTCACATCTGACATCTGTGTTAGTTGACTTAATCTCTGTTTTACCAGCTAACGGTCTGCTACTCCAGTTTTCACTCCCCATTGCCCATGGAAGAAGACTTCAAGGAGAAAGCAAGCTTCTCTCTCTTTTTAATAAATAAAACACCATCAGCAACAAAAGCCAAAACAGAGGTCTATAACAGAACCTTAAAAGCATTTGTGACTTGAAGCCTTTGTTCCTGCATCTTCAAAAGCTGATATATGCTGCTGCCTTTGTAATACAGGGAAGGCACTTCCTTCACTTAGGTTCTTTTAGTTGATGTAGACTGAACACAACAGCTTCCAAACTCTGGATCTGCAACAGTTTGGCTGATGTTGCTGACTTTACACCAAAGAGTTCTCAGCACATCCTGCAAGCCCCATTTCACATTCAACCTATCCTATCCAGCAGCTTCTGACACTCTTCCTTACCACCTTTGACTCTATTCCCTCTGTTTAACTGGAAGCAAAGCAGACATCAAGTGCAGGCTACCAGCTGGCAGGAGTGCTCAGTGAGATGAGCCACTCTTAATCATCAAAGAATACCCTGCAGCATGGTTTATAGAACAAGATCATAGGGAGCAGGTTTTTCACCAACTTAGCACAGCAGTCTCCTTCTCTGAGAACTAATACAATCTGCACCTCTGCTTTTCCTACACAGCTTTTAGGCACTCCCGGCCAGGAAGAACAAAGCCACTCCCCTAGGCCAGGTTCAGCCTCCTGTGAAAGCACTTGTCCTGTGGGATAGGGCCATGTGGAGAACACAGTGCTGTGAGCAGCCAGCATGTGGTCACTCACCCCTTTGTCTTGCACCTCTGCACTGCAGCATGCATGTGGATGCCTGTTTCTCAGGCTTTCCAAGTACTGGGGGGAGCTGCAGTCTCAGATACTCCTGTGGCAGCTGCTGGCATGGAAAACAGTTTTTTGAGGAGTGGAGAATCTCAGGGAAGTATCTTACGTTGAAACTTAATAGGTAGATACTCCCGAGGCAGCTTGGAGAAACAGTCACACATATTTCATTTCAGTAAGTGGAAAATATGTGGACAGGCTGCCAGATTTATCAGCCTCTTTTGTGTATTAAGCTGCTAGGGTAGAGATGAAGAAATTGTGTGGCTTTTCTATCTCACAGGTCCACCCCCTGCTTAACTGTGCTGTCTGTGGTATTGGTTCTGTTACTGGCTTTTTTAATTGCATTATTAGTGCCTTTCCAAGACAGAATGGGTTCTCCGGGCCAAAGGCTCAGCTTCCTGACCACTTACCCCTCTGCATAACCTCTCTGGGAGAAGCCTGGGTAATTAATTTGTTCACAAGGAGTGCTTGCAGGCTGTGACCCTTGGACATTTTCACAGTAGTTGCAAATAAAGGAAGAAAGGATTCACTCCAGAAAGATGTGACATTTATATTTTGGAAAACAAAACAGAACACCTTTGAAAGGACTTTGTTCTTAAGAGCACAACAGAACTAACATGATAGTCACTTTAAACTCCAGAGAGCTTTTATGTGGGTTTATAAAGACCAGGAATAAAGCCAACTTGGCTCAAAGAATGTCTCATTTCTCTTGACCACTTACACTGCTGAGTTTCCTTAGTGTTTTCGTGATTACAGTGTGCATTCCCCATCCCTTCTATGGCTGGATCAGACTGTCACGTTGGAGTGCGAAGGTGAATTTCATTTCCTTGCGGTCCTATAGTTGAAATATGATGGGACAGACATTATTCCTTTCAATGCATTTTTTTTCTGGCAATCTGCTTCATATTTTTGAGTAGATCTTTTGAGGAAAGTCTACTTTCCTTCCCCAATTTTCTCTCCAAATAGTCTTTTAGCATCTTTCTCTGAACCAAAATGATTTATCTTTCTCCCTCAGATAATTAAGTCAGGTGCATAATACAGTGGAAAAAAAAGCACATTTTAATTGATTAACAGGAATTCCCTGCTTCCAGCAGTGCAATCACTAAGCTAGTATCATAAAAAATGCTCAGAGATGATTATGAAGGATTCATTCCTTTAGGAATGTTTCTATGTTCCTTCTTTGACAACAGATCTGGGATTAGTCTCATTTAGAAGTGTGTTTTCCCAGAGCAGGCATTTATCAGTGTTTGGTTTCCCAGTGGCTCATTTCTCCTCACTAAAAGTACTCCTTAAGTGATCCTCCCCCAATTCCCCTGTGAAAAGGGGATCATTGACATAAATCGGAAACCTTAATCTTGATGACTGTACAGACAAACTGATCCCAAGAACCAAGTGAGGACAAAACATGTTTTTATCCACTGGCCCATGCCTACCAAGTTGTGGAAGCTAACAGATCAGGAAGCACATCCACATGTATTGCTACAGCCAAGAAAATCCAAGAAACCTACATTGTGACAACAAGAGGAGAAGAGCTCCCTACATCCAACAGAATCCAGTCTCGTGCTAAATAAGGTGGCCTTTCCTATTCTTTCTGCCTATCTCCTAGTCCCTACTCACCAGCTCACTCTCTCTGCTCCTCAGCCAGCAGCTCCTCTCCCCCCCTGCTCCTGCCTGTGTTGCAGGGGCAGATAATGCACATGCTGCCCCTGCCATCTGGAGCAGTACTCCTCACTCCTCACCATCTGGAGCAGCAGCCCTATTGCCCTGTACCTAGCTGCATTTGAATGGGAACAGGCAAGTAGTGTTGGGAAGGGTCATCTCCTGACCCTGCCATATCGACTCCTCTGAATATGCCTTCCCAGGCTCTGCTCCCTTCTGCCTCCACAAGATCAGCAGTTGCCTGCTGTTTGCCCTGCAGCCCAGCATGTCTTCAAACGACACCTTTCACATCTACAACCCTCTAGCCTTATATTTGTGGAGGTGAATATGAAGCAATTGCGCCCCAACTCTGCAGCCTCCAGCCCAAGAGAGTCCAACTTCATACCATGCCAAAGGGAAAGGTGAAAAGCATGACCCCTTCCTGCTGGCTGGATCCTCTGGGAATGTGCCCCCCTCTGCCCCATCCAAGACCTATGTCCTCAGAGCAAGGAAGTTTGTGTTTCTCCCTGCTGAAGGGCCAGAGGTGACCCCTACCTCTCCTCACTCACTGAGCTGTATATAACACAACAGCCAGGGTCCACAGCAGCTTGTGTGAGAAGCAGCACTCCAATGTGAACAGGCTGTGTTGAGGGTCTTAAGACAGGAAAGGTCAAAAATCCAATGCTTTTGCTTCCTGTCACACAGGTAGGCCACACTGATGGGCAACACATCTTAAATCTAGGGAAATCCAATAACAAGTTATTTCTAACTGATGCTCAAACAAATTACCAAAAGATGCAAATTGAGACATCCAGATGCACCTACGGAGACCAAGGTTTTTGCAATAGCACATTAGACAACTTCTTCCTAACATCAGTTCTCATACTGACACCAATTAAAATCAAATCTGACCCAAGACAAGAGATAATCTGTGTAGGGAAAAAAACACAACATAAAATGAAGCCCACAGAAACTCACAGAGAGGAGGGAAGTTCAGGGATTTCAAATGACAGCTCCTCTTTCACATCCTGTTTTTCAGGATGTTCTCCTCTTCTGAGGAGTATTCAGCCTGAAATGGTTTGTCAATACCAGAATCCTCTAAAGATCCTCCAACAGGAGCAGGAAGCAGCACATCACTGCGCTGAAGGTGACTTGGAAGCCACACAACAAGCCAGCCACCTGTCCTGTGGCTGGGCTGGCCTGGCCACCCCAGCTCCCTGATAAGGGACCATCACAACAACATGTGAGACAACTGGAAGGCAAGGGCTGTAGGTTACTCCAAGCTTTGAGGTCTTTACAGAACATTGCACTGGGAATAGCAGGAACTTAAGACCTATGGATGCAAAGGACTCTACTGCTGGCCATGGGTCCCAGAGAGCTGCAGGGCTGACAGTGAGCGGGGCCAGCAGTGCAGGCCGTTGCTTACAGGGGTGGCTAATAGGCAGCTCCTGCTCCAAGCAGCTTCCTGGGAAGTTGAGCACTGACAGACAGCACTAACAAGGCAGCGAGATTTCATTCATGCTGAAACCTAAAGGCAAGATCTAGTGAAAAATGGCCACTGGCCAAGTGGTAAAATAAATAAGGCCAGTGTCAGGAATAAATCTGAAATGCTGGACAATGCCAGAGCTAATCTAATGTTAGAAACAGTATTTTAAAGCAGTCTGAATCTAATACATAAGCAGCAGTGTCAGTGAAGGGAGAATACCAAATTTATCCCAGGTGAGCTTGTGGCTGCTCTTTCTTTGCACACATTTGCATCTAATTCAGTGCAAATCCAGTCCCAATAAGCACATGTAAAACTGCGATTTCCCCAGATCCTCTGCACTTCTGTCCTCACAGTGCCACCTCTGCTTCTTGCCCAGCTACAGAACTCCTCAGAGGCCCAAGCAGGAGTTTTTCCTGGAGACTGGGTGTTATTTGAATACAGCAGAGGCTCAAAAAGGACAATATCTCTTACCCCTTTCCTGAGTATCTTGCATAATATGAATGAATGTGCCACTAGTGCTTTTTCAGATTTCCCTAGTTCTCTCCTGTATTGCAGAAATCGCACAGCAGAATTTGGTGGAGTCACAGTAGGGTAACATGGGAGTCAGATATTCAACATGGGAAAGCAGGAACATAAAGAAAATGAGCTGAGGGCACTGCAAATGAAAACCCTCTATCAGCTATGGGCCAACCCGTGCTCCAGCCACTGCTGTCAGTAACTGCCTGGGGGCAGAAATTTTAATGTTGTGCCAGAGCCCACACAGAAGCAGAATGATACGTTTGATTTCATTATGAAATCATACCAAGCACCATAAAGTATCAGCTTTCAAGTTCATAATTTATAAATCAAGTGTAAATAGCCCATATTCTGAGCTCCTCTCCAGCGTCTTTTTTATCCTTCCCCCATGAAAAATTAACCAGTCCATAAAATAGCTTGTAAATTTAAAGCAGTCATGTTTTTCAAAGTAAATCAACACTGCAACTTTACAGCTTTCCTGGAAACCCTGAAGCATCAGGTGGCTCCAGCCACTACTCTTAATCCCTCATTTTAGGTGTCCTGCCACACTACAGCAAAGATGTTCCACCCTTTGCTGAGGTTCCTCCTGCAGACCTGTGCCAAAGACAAGGTAAAGCACTTTGTGGCAATTGGGCTATCCTAGTGCAGCCTGGCAGACTGCTTCCTTCAGGGGCTGCTGGAGGAGCTAGCATCATACCCAAGATGTAATGAGAAGAATTAGCAAGACTATTTTTATCATCAACTTTTCAAAGCAGAAAACTCACCCCAGGCAAAGCTTCTGGTCCACGGGAAGGAAAACAATCAGACCCAGATCTGCCAGCACTAAGAAGATTCCTTAAGAGACCCTTTTACAATTTTGTGACCCTCTCAGGTTTGCCCCTGGACAAAAGGCTGTTTTGGTTTTACAAGGCCCTCCACATACAGGTCTTCAAAGACCTGTGTTCCTGTGCCCTAGCATAGGCATTTACCAATCCCATAACAAATAAATAAACAAGGGGCAGCAGGCAAGAAGGCATAGGAGCAGGTGGACTGAAGCACAGACTGGGGCAGGCACAGCACTTGAGATGCTGGAGCACTGAAGCAGAACACAGCAGAAGTGCACTGAGAACAGACACCAGACTGCTCTAGAGAGTACCTATGGAGGTGCAAGGACAGTCCTCCATGCAACTGAATGTGTGCTTCTGTCCACCTCCATTCTCTTCTATCATCTCTGTAGGTGTTGCTCAATACCAGATAAAAACCCATGAAGCCTACTGAAAAACAAAGATATTCCTACACAAGAACTCTTCCTTGGAACAAACTCAGTGGTGCTCTGTGCTCAGGCAGGGATTGTAAGAGAAATAACAAGATTTCAGGGCTGCTGCAACGAGCTGAGTCACACTGGGATGTTAAGTCTCACAGAGGAGGATGGTATCAAGAGATGCAAATGGCACAAAGAGCACCAAGGGTTTGCTCTTGTGACGGATTTCTGTATAAAACGGTTCCACAGACAGAAACTCTTACTGTTAAGCTCTCACAAAATAGCCAACAACTTTTAGCTGCAAAGAAAAAATAATCCCAAACCATTAGAATAATCAAAGCAGAATAAACACAGCATAGGGATTATTCTTCCCCTTCTGTACACGTTTTGTATTCCCTCTCCTTTGCAGTATAACTATGGCTGTCACAAACAGTGCATCGCTATGATAATTTACGACAAAAGTGGCACATTTAATTAGATGTAACACTAACTTATTCATTACATTCCTACAATCAAACACTAAAATGGATATTTGTCCTATTGGGACAAGATGCAGAGATGAACGGTACAACTTTATCTCTGCTGCGTGTAAAATACCCATAATTGAGCAGAAAGCCTGATCCCAAAAGCTTAAAAATGTAACGCCAGAGAGGCAAATGTGATTGGATTTCTTCTAATCTCATCATTTTGCTCCATATGTGGCCCCAATCTGTTTAGGATTGTTAAAATTCCTGGGTATTGTAGTACGTTCCCCAGAGACAGCTGGAAGAACTCGGACAGCCTGGACCAGATGGGATGCCAGCAACTCCAGCCAGGAACAGCAGAAAAGAGGACAGCAGTTAACTCCTTCTCTGTTGGCTGCCTCAGAACAGATCCAGAAGGAAAAATCATGCTTTCCCATCAGCACTATACAAGGTACTTGGTGGAGATCTTGAAAGCAAACTGCTGCAGACCC